AATATTGATAGAAATATCTGAAAACAATTAATTATTAATATTAATTCGGATCTAATAAATCACTTTACTTAAAAAAAAACATGTATAAACAAATAAAATTAAAATAACAAGTTAAAAGTACCATATACAAAATAATCAAAACTTAAACTTAAAAATTTAAACAATACTTATAATTTCGAAAATTCCATTAAAAAATATGTACTTTGAGTTTATGTCAAAAAAGACATCCTTGATCATTCTTGTCAATGAAACGTTTAAGTACTTTTTGTAAGCGAGAAACATTATTGTTAAATTTTTTTTTCATAAAATATAAAAATGGCCTGTACGTAATGATAAACAATAAGCGGCAATAATATTATTATTATAGATCACTTATTACATTCCTGTACGAATAAGCTTCAGATATGTCAATGACTCAATATATAAATTTACTTATAATAATTTACCTTAAAAAATCTATGTACATATAATACTTAATAAAATCATTTTGGAGAGCTCTATTTAATGTTAATAAATAGAGAACTAAATTTATATATCACTTTAAAAATCAAATTTGCTAAAACAATTTAACTTTATAGTAATACAATTCCATGATCTCTTTCAAGTCTACGTTTAGCTTTTAAAGATATAATTCCCATTAAATCTGCTGGTGTTGGAAGACCTCCTGATATATTTGGAGCTACTGCTTGCTGATAAAATACTTCTATCTGTCCACATTGATTACCATAAACAACAGCATCTTCAGTCCTATATAATATACATACTCTATATGTCACAATTTTATAATGCTTTTTTTGCTTTCCTATATACTTTTTTATTAATAAAAAAACCTTAAAAATTAATTTAAAAACTTAAAAATTATTTAAACTCACCGAACAATAACGTCAGTAAGATTACTGGCTTGTTTGAATCTATCATGAAGACATGATACTATATCCAATTCTGTAACTCCCCAAAGTCCGGAACGATGTATTGTATCCCACTCTGCATCAACACTCAAAATGCTATATAACTCTTTATTTTCATTTGATGGAAGAGGATCTAAACATTGTTGCAATTGAGATTCAAGTCTGCCAAGTGTTTTGATACAAGTCTGCCACTATAACAGAAATAATAAATATCAATAAGCGTAATATCAATTAATATAATTTATGAATATATAAGAAGTGACTTACAAGAGAATGTATTAAATCTGGATTGTTAGCAGTTCCATTTTCCATTAATAAAACCAAGACCATATTTTGATGTCCACATAGAAATAATTCAATTTGTACTATATTACTTTCATCTTTAGTAGCACTGATGCATTCACTTTCATTCAGTTTACTTTCATTCTCTTTATTTGTTTCTTTACTTACTGCTTCTAATTTCTGTTTTAATAACTGATTCGTTGCAGCAGAAAATCCAAATATATCACGAAATTCACTAGGTGTTGTTTCTTTACTGCAAAAACCACTGGTTCGTTCATCAGCAAGTAAAGTCAATTTAGACATAAGAGGTGTTAATTGTAAACCTTCTAGTTTTCTTTTTTGCAATAAATTATATTCGTTATAACATTCAGGTTCTGATTTACATTTGTCATCATTATCCAAAATATTTAATGGTTTCAAAGGTAAACTCATGGCTTTTCTATTAGATTCTTGTTTACTTTTGTTATCAAGTTCTATATTAAAAGATGCAGCAGTTTCATTTTCCTTTACATCTCCAGCAGCACTTTCATTATTAGCTTCAGACGGTTTATTCAATGAATCAGGTAAATTAAGAAAACGATTGTCAATATAATTATTAGTATTATCATCTTTAAGTTCCTCATAATGTGAAGCTATATATTGTTCATATAGTGCCTGTGAAACAGGTAATCCATCAGAACGAAAAACTGGATAACACGGATCAGTTATTGTATGAAAAACGTTATTCTCTGACAATTTATTTGGTAACATGTCAATGTCATAATTAATATGCACATTTTTATTTAACTTTGGTAATCCTAATGTATATGTTCTAAGTGGAATATCAGGAGAAATCTTATCTAAAGAAGCTTCTAAATCAGATGTGCTTAAACTTCTTTTGATTAAGTCTTTGCTTCTCCATGACTTTCTTCTAATAGAAGGATTCCTTAGTTTATTTAAATGTTTACAACGAAGTGCTTCTTTGACAACGTCTGGAATATCATCCATATTTTCTTTTATTTCTTTTAATTCTTTTACTTCTTTTTCTTTTGAAATATCTGCACTATCATTCATATTGCATATTAAAACTGCTGATCCATGTAGAACTCTATTTACATCTTTAAGAGGTGTAGAACAAACGCTTGGTGTTTGTGGATTCGTATATTCATATGGTTCTATTTTATACTCTTGTTTACGCTTCACTGGTGAACTATATGCAGTAATAGGAAGAGAAGAAATACTAGTCGCACTATTATTACAGTGCATTGGTTCTAACTCCCCTTCTTCAGGTACTGTAAAAATTCGTGACGTGTCGCGTTTTGTTCCAGATATATGTGGTTCTTTCATACTGTTCTTACGCATGATCTGTAAATACATATATATTAAAATATATAAATAAGAACACATTTAAACCTAATTGTACCTTTTTTTGAGAAGAAAATTTCTGTGCCATGGAATCTAAATACGAATTAAAATAACGTTCGTTATTTGCTTCCTGTACTAATTTAATGTATTGTTTTTCTTGTATGTATACACGTAGTAGTTGAACTCCCACGGGCAAATGAAATTCTGTATCTACTCTCTCTGCTGGTGCCTAATAGTTCCAAAATATTGTTAGTCTGCTTGTAACATAAATATTAATATATATAAATGCTTTAAAAAGCATTATACCTTTACTCTATATGGATCCATTATAACAATTTGTTTAGTTAAATCTGCACTCAATTGTGTTGCAACTACCCTGGAATAATGATATTAACACAATTATTATTTTGATAATTTCTATTATAAAATAATATTTTATGCTTTCCTATACTTGTTATTATAAAATAGAGCACCACCCATAATTCCATTTGTTTCTTGACAATATTGCAGAATTTGTATTGCTTCCAAAAATATATTACTGGCACTCTGTAAGTATAAAATATTTATATTTGATTTACATTGTTTTAAAATATATTCTATATAATTTGAATTTGTATCAACCTTTGGAAGTTTAATAACAGGAATATTAGAAAATAAATTGGCACTGTATTGAAGAATTGGTAAGTAAGTTTCGAACATTTGATATAGCTTCTCAGTAAATTTGTTTCTATCATTGTTGAAAGATTCTGATATTTTTACAAGATCGCAATGAAAAAATTTCAATATTGATTCCAAGGTATTTGCTCTTCTTTCTAAAACCCAATCATGTATATTTCTGTCTGTTCCTACTGCCTGGAATTATTAATAGATTGTTAAACCTCACAAAGTCTAAGAATGTTTTATTCTAGTAAGTGTTGATAAAATGAAAATATAAATTGAAAATTACTTACAAGTATATATTGACCAAACTTTTTGAAGACAAATTTTCCACCTTGCAGAGAAATTGAATGTGGTGGAGAAAATGATGTTGCTAAGAACTGATTAACACCCATCAGTTGGCCTGCTAAAGCAAGCCTTTGAGTAGGTGACACCCATGCAGGATGGAAGTACATAACTGCTTCTGCAGGATCATCTTCTTCTTTACAACATCTTGATGTGTCAAAGACAAACACTATCATCATTTCCCTACAAATAGTGGCTTGTAAATTTTAAGACAAATTTAAAATTGTTGTAAAATTTTAATCCTTAAAAGTAAGTATTGTTTTATTTGTATAATAAAGATGATCAGAATGTATTTTAAATAGAATATTTAGAAATTTTATACAAGTACGTATATCATTACGTAGCAAATGTTAATATTTTTTATTATATACATACGATGCTAATACATAAAAACAAGAATCTAAATTAACGTATTATTTTATTACATCAAATATTATATGCTTGCGATTTATCAGTAAAGATATCACTATCTAATAAATTTGAGATGTCATTAAATAAAGACTCACACAAGTTTAAAATCACTATTTTCTTTAACAAATATTAAAGATTTAAAGAGAGACATTATCAGAGAAAAATAATAAATCCATGAATTTAAAATGTACATATGTACACATATACATATAAATCCATTCATTCACAACAGCATGTCAAAAATGAGCAAACCATTATCATTGAATTAAAATTAGCCTTGCAATACTATAATTAGATAATACTACGATTACGCAATCTTCTCGTACTTTGCCATGGTGATTGTTTACGTTTCGTTCGGGCGGTTCGATCGTAACTGTCAAACTAATATCCTATATTCCTTTTTATATCTCTACTTCACTTTCGTGTTTATCCTCATACGATTAATCTTTTCGAAGTTCACCACGATGCAGACTGATATGGCCGATATAAAAAATTCACCTTGATAGGAATGTAATATATAGTTACGTAAGCGAAAAAACGAGTCATGATAATAACTACTGATCACTACTTATTATAAGTTGAAATGAACTAAACAGAACAGGTTCTTTGCCGCCATTCCAAACGATCCTGTCCGGATCGTAGCAAATGATGGCAATCCTTGATTAGTTTTGTTGCTGCGGTAATATAATCTCACATAGGTGCGAGCAGGTGGTGGAAGGTAAAAATTTATCCTCGAATGAGGAAAAAGATATTGCTGGTATATCTTGATATTGAACAATAACAAATGATTAAATTTGTATCCTTCATTCGTATTTGTTCTTATAAAAAAATAGATATGAGTTTATATTTTATTTACTTTAGAACGGAAAATAAAACAAAAGAGCAACGAAATTATCGCAAACCATCGTAACAAACATTTTAAGGCATTAAATAGGATTAATTTGGATAATTTTTTAAATTCCCCGCCTGTGAATGGAAATCATTGTCGATTAGAACGTAATCCATTTTACCATAGGGCGCTGTTCTAAAATATACTGTGTTCTAAAATATACCGGCAGGGTCTCTGGCATCATACGGCTTCGAATTTTATCTTACAACTTTATGACGATTCATAAATTGTGAATAACGTCGAAGTCCGGCAACTGTCAAATGACATTCGCATTTATAAGGTTACTACTTTGATTTTGAAATGGCAGCAGAAATAAAACCCGCACCCGGAGGGAATCATGATAAGTTTAGTTCTAGTCGTAAGCCCATACTTTTGTCGAAATTAGAAGGCTGTAATGACGACGTTAACGCGGCTATTATCATCCCGCGGGAAGACGGTGTAATTAGCGTTTGCGATGACAGGTACGTGACGCTTATGTACTCTACAAACTGGCAACTTATCTATCCATATTATAATATGGTTGATTTAATTAGTTCTCATATTGGTTTTCTTTCATCATATTCTTTTGTATTTGTAGATTTATTGGTGTCGCTTGACAATAAAACTCATAATTATCGGTTAATACCTAGAAATTCAATTATTTAAATTTTCATTAATTATTTTATATGTTTAATATCATGAAACATTTTATGTTAATCATATTATTAATTTATCTGATCTTCATTTTTTAATTAGAAGACTTATTTTGTATTATATCTATAGATTTTTTTGCATGGTTTTTATCATTTTTAGATAAACTTATATAGATAAAATAAGTTTATTGTTTTCACAGAACTGTCAGAGTATGGCTAAAACGAGATTCTGGTCATTATTGGCCAAGCGTTTGCCAATACATGGCTGTTGGTGCAACTTCTATGCATTACTGCGTAGAAACACGACAATTATTTGTTGGACTTGAAAATGGAAATATAAATGTATGTGATACTAAATGGATTTAAGGAATGTCTTTTTAAGAATTAATATTTTATGCTTCATAAAATTCATAATTTTAGGAATTTGTTTTGGAACAAGATTATAATCGTATGACTGGTATGCGAGAATATTTAGCACATCAAGCAAGAGTTTCTGGAGTTATATATGCACCAAATTGCGAATGGGTATTGAGCATAGGCCGTGATAAATTATTTCAATTACATTGTTCCACTACTGGAAGAAAATTAGGATCATATCAAACGGATGCATGGTATACTGCTCTACAGTATCCTTTCTTCAATTTTTTTTTATATATTTTAATGTAAAAAATATCATATTTTATATAATAAACATTTACATTTATATATTAGCTTAACTAATTCAGATTTGATGCACAATCTAAACACGCTTTTGTGGGAGATTATTCTGGACAAATAGCAATGTTAAAATTGGATACTAATGGTGTTACTTTCATTACCATGTTGAAAGCCCATACAGGGAGTATTCATACTTTAGCATGGGATTCTGAGAAGCAACTTCTATTTTCTGGCAGTTTTGATCAAAGTATTATAGTGTGGGATATTGGAGGACGTCAAGGCACAGCATATGAACTTCAAGGCCATCAGTAAGCTAAAGTAACTCTAATATATAAGATAGAACAATTACAAATAGTTTTATGATAATACATTTTATATGTTGTCCTAAAATGTTGCATTTATTTTACAATATATAAAATTTAATTTATATTCTCTTCTTTTCCTTTTTTGTAAATGTCTTCTATATATGGAAATGTAAATATTTCAGTAACAAAGTAACAGCACTTTGCTATGCAAGTACAGAACGTGTATTACTATCTGGGGGAGAAGATGCAGTGATTGTTTGTTGGGATATGGCTACAAATAGGAGAGAAACAGCACCTTGGGTTGAATCGGATACATGTCAAGTATGCCTATAAATTATTTAAGCTATATGATCTTTAAACTTATATGACCATAGATTACATCTAGAATTTTTGTCATATACAGGCCTGTGGTAGACCATTTTTCTGGAATATAAAAGCTATGATGGATCAGCGTCAGATAGGCTTAAGGCAACATCATTGTCGTCATTGTGGGCGTGCTTTGTGTGCTCGTTGCACTTCTCAAAGAACACCGATCCCATCTATGGGATTTGAGTTCGAAGTTCGAGTGTGTGATCCATGCCATATTCAACTTAAAGCTGCCAAGTAGGTATTAGTGGTATTATGTAGTATAAAAATACCATTATAACTAACTTATATATTTTTTTGTATAGCCAAACATCTCTTGCATCATTTCATGATGCAAAACATAGTATTATTGGAATGGATTTAGATGCTCCACGTCGAAGATTACTGACTATTGGACAAGATCGCTTAATTAAAATATGGGATATTTCTGCACTGCTTCAGTGAACTTGCAAGTATATCTGCTTTTCTAAATAAATCAAATTATATGACACGAAAAACTGTTATCACGTTTAAATGGAAAAATGTGCTATCCAGAGCGTATTTTTGTGATTATATAATTATTTCTAATTACAAATTCAGATATACTTTGTGTAATGCAAAATGTTCTTTGTGGGAATAACGAAATAATATTGCGAGCATGAAAACACAAAGTAGAATTGTAATTATAGGTTTCAAAAGTTTAAGTCATCGATACTTCTTTGCACCAAATACTCATATATTCCTTGTATATTTATAAAACAAGCAGCAATAGATGTGAATATATTTTCTCATATACAGTAGACCCAACACAATCAATTGGAAAAAAGAAAGACTAAAGTTAAAAGCGATCTATCTATTTTTGGGATAACGATAATATTACTTTCAAGAAAAAGTACTTTAATACTTGAGGTATAATATAATTCTGAGGTACATGGAACAACCAAAATAAAAAAGAAAAGAGTGAGGAGAGACAGACAAATAAACAGAAAGGGAGACTACTAATATAAATCTTACGACTCTTAAATATTTTCATAATCAAACCTTTGCAAGGTACATCCAGCAGTGTTTACATATGAACTATAATCTGGCTATATTATACATAGGTACTTTTTAATTAAATTAAAGTTATTTCAGTTAATTATTTTGGTGCTGATTGCTGACGTTATACATCTGTAATTATCTTTATCGTTGATACATTATATACAGTTACTGTTAAAATCTTTATAAAGATATCTAGTTTATTCGTACTGTTTAATTGTTTCAAGATAACACATACTTTATGTATGTATGCAATAGAATACTTATAGTATTGCATAACATAACATTCACTTTATTATGCTTTTAATTGATCGGTTTTAATAATATATTATGTATATTCTATGAGGATAAAAGATATTAATATCTTATGTTTTACTTTGATTCTAATTAATTGTTTAATTACATAGTAAAAATTGTTTTAAATAGCTATAAGTATATTACAAAAAATTCATGATTTACAAACCTTTAAAAAATGATAGAAAATAAGTTATAATTTGCGTTTTCTGTAGGTCTTAATTATATGAAATATTTAATTTTATGCAAATAATTGTAATAATTATATAATTATAAACATATAATCATACAGACATATACATACATATAATTTACTAGATATAATGTATGTGAAGTTAGAAGTCTTATGATATCATCATATAATAATTTTTATAAGTCCTAGTCGTCTTATACATTAATTTTATGACTTATAGCTATATATTATTGTTATATTATTCTTACTAAACATATACAAACAAAGATATGTTAAACAAGAATGCTATGATAAAAAATATAAAAAAAAATTTTTATCCATTAAAATCGGATATGAAATATCAATAATTTTGTTAACCAAATAGATTTTTGCAAAAAGTTTTAAAGCAAAATATGTTTAAAATTATGTTGAGTCTTTTTAATGTTCATTTATGTAACTAATAGTTTTTGTAAGAATTTTTGCTTTTCATGGACACGACTATTTTGTAACAATCTTTTATTTATTTTTAAATGGCTTTCTCCTTTTCTGATCATGTCTGCCTTCCTTTGTCTTTTCATCTTGTCATAAATTCACTTATTTCAACATGGAAGATAAAAAAAATTCAGAAGAAAAATTTATTCTTCCTTTTATATGAAAGATCCAATTTTATTGGCATCATGTCCTTCCGAAATTCATTCTAGTTTCTAAAACTTAAAATTATAAATACAATAGTCTTCTTGTGCTTCCATAAAACTAGTTGTCATAAATTGTGATGCAAAAATTGTAATAATAAAAAATATGTCAAAAAAATAACAAAAATGTTAAAATTAGGCATTCATGTCAACATTAAATGTATGTTATATCATTACATTATATCTTTTATAAAATTTTCCCTATAATTGATTGTTTATAAATAATCTATATGATTGTCTTGTACCTGAAAGTAAAAAAGCATCATTACACTAAATTACAAAATAGGGACTACTGACTTTCATATTGAAATTTGAGTATAAATGGTTACAATGAGAAGTATAATGTTACTCTGTTATAAAGGAATATTAAAAGTTTTGTTATATCATATTTTCTTCATTTTTTATATTTTTCAAATTCGATTGTATCTTACAGTTCAATCAAACTACGTTAAAAGATACAATTGTACTCGTTTTGTTGAGGTCATATATAGTATCTTTACATGCTATCATAAATATTTTGTATGCCAACGAAGAATATATACTATTACAATAAGTTGTACGTGCTTCTTATTATAAAAAAAGTGCTATTACTTGGTTAATGTAATTATCTTATTTACGATGAAAATGCGCTGTATAATAAGTATTATCAACAAAGTTTTCAAAAGTATTATACATAAGAAATGTACATTCGTAAGATAATTTTGAAAAAAAAATGTTTATTATACAATTCTTTGATGAAAATTTCATTACTGTTACGTCCCTAGATAAAATATTTTATTAAAATTTAATCGTTTGAGAAAATGACAATTATTACTAACGAAATGTATGCTATCTGAATTCATTGTCAAAATTGTTCTCGTTACATAAAGACACATTTCGTATTACGTTGAGCGAATGTTAAATGATAAACATTTTCGGTAAAGCGATCACTGTATTTCACCATCAACTTTATGCATTAGTATGTATATTATAAGATATATAGCTGTAAAGAAAGAACAAAAATATGTGTATACATCCAATCGTATATAATGATACAAACCGATCATAAACGAAGTAAAAAATATATTTTCAACATTAATGATACGTCGTTTATTATTTTCATTGGCATATGATTCAAATCTTCTTTATCATTTAATTGTCGATAATTTGTATTCTTAAATATAAAACAAAGATAACGCATAAAGGTAATCGTAAGTTCTTTGTAAAATTCTTTGTAAAATATCAATGATAGACTATAAACGTTCGAAACTCCGTATTCCTAATTATCATCAAAATTCCTTAAAGTAAAGTGAAAACGTAATAAAAAGAGATACTTCATACAGAAAAACGATGTGTAACAACGTACAAATGTGTTGTTCCGAAAGCGTGCCAAAAAAATCAAAAATAAAATTTAAGAAAATAAAACGGGGTAGGAGGCGACAAAGTCGTAAATAATTCGACCTTTTGTAGACGCATGCCATACGATTATACACCGATGTACGATCATAGATACCGCTGCTACTTTTCCATCTCCATAATCCGACTTCCACCTGGCTACGCCCGAACCGTGCCGAAGGTAGCCGAGAGTGATCGCGTTGTTTAACGTGCCGGTCAGAAGCACCGTGGCCTATCCTCCGGAACGAGCCACGGCTGTCTCCGTTGTTCTCATCATCGTCGTAGTATCGTCTTCTCAATTGTACGTTTCTAAAACGTATGTTTTTCGGACATTTGTGATCATTACTTCTTTCCCGTATATCATTAATTCTTTTTCACGGTTTTCTCTCTTTCTCTCTATCTACCTCCCTCTCTCTCTCTCTCTCCCTCCTTTCTTCTCTCTCACTCTCGCGCGCGCGTCATCCATTCTTTACGGTTCTTTTTCTTCTCTACTCAACGCACATTAACCTGTCGCATAAAAAAAAACAAGAAAAGCGAGCTGTTCTCGCGCGCACGTTCATAGCCGGTGTTCTACCGATCGAGTTTCGTTCGGATATGAAAAACGAGCTTCGCGCCGGCCCATGTAAAGTGCAGTGCAGTGCAGTTTAATGGAGCGCACCAACAACTTCTAGCAGAGACCCGCTTTCGTCGTGCTTATCGTTACTCGCGCAAGGTAATTAACTTACGTCGAATATAATACGCGAAACCTAACTTTGATGATTCTCTTTCTCTCTCTCTCTCTCTCTCTCTCTATCTATCTCTATCTCTATCTCTATCTCTATCTCTATCTCTATATCTCTCTATCTATTTCTCTCTTTCTCACTCTTCGTTCTCACTTCTTTGTACTCTTCACCGCCACGTATGTACGAGGAAAAAAATAGCCACGTTCATGATGCGGAGCGAAAGAATTCGAACATATTAAATGCAACTATTCAGACCTTCGAGGAATTATACATTGTCCGTATAAATTTAAATATGAAATTTATATGAGCAGTCGGCACGCATGTCTCTTAGATCTTTCGTGCTAACCTGTCCGTCCTTAAGAAAGGAAATATACGAATGAAGATCTATGGCGATATGATGAGTCTTCCTCTCTTTCTTCCTTTTTCAGCTTATTTGTTTTTTTGCATGTTTTTACAATCTATGACGAACAAAAGCCGATTTTATGTGGAAGTTAATTTTTGTTGATTTCTTTTTTGTGAAAAAGAATACATCATATTATAATTTTTTCATATTTTCCTGCATGCATATAAGAGAGAAACAAATTCTTTAAGAATTGATCAGTAATCTTTATCATTGCTCAATTGTTACAGATTAAGATTCTTTATGAATGAAAATTCTATTAATAATAAATCAAACATTCTTTTCTTTAAAATAAAAACGCTTACCAAAGGTTTGATTCCTACATATTTTTTTAAGACGATTGAACGTGATAATCGGTGTTCTTATTAACATCTATTCGACGCTTAATTACTGAGAGTTCCTGTGTATATATGCACGTATGTGTATGTACGGTAATACGTATAGAGAGAAAGAGGGAAAGAGAGAGAGAGAGAGGTTTAATTGTAGAGATATAGGCGTTCGAAACTCATTCGTTCAAATCTTCGTGATTTCATTTTTTCCCCTAGCATGATGTCACTTACCGATTAATCGATGATACACGATCCTCGCATTGTTTTCCGATCGGTCGATCGATAGTTCCTATTTACACGAAAAGCGCGAAACCTTTATTTTATTTAAGTTAAAATGGAAGAAGAAAAAAGTAGGAAATCTGTTCATGAAGAGGTGCGAATGTATGACATATATACATACGTACGTTGTATCATCTCGAATCGTGAGTGTGCAAAGAATTAACATAAATTTTATTTTAGTCTGGTTTTAAGTAACTTTTTTCGGCCTGTCGTTATGCTGGAGATTGTAATGGCGGCCATTTCCGATGACACGTATGTACGAAAGAGAAATAATTTATGAATTTTAGGTTAATTATTTTCAACTGAATGTAAAATGAAAATAAGTATGGTTTATTGCAATGAAGATATACACACGATTCAGGTCATACGAAAAAGTCAAAATTTCGTCGGAACGTGTCTTCCTGGTCACGCGTCGTTGTTTGATCGCCCGTTAAAGTCTCTTGCACACGGTACTGCGCCACTGACCGCTCACTAGATATTTTCAAAGTCAATGACTGCGACTCTTCTATACGTTCCTTACTTCAAGTTCATAGTGAAACTGTAGCTCTCTGTGCTAATAATATATAATATATTATTATAATAACCTACATGTGTGCATTATCGTGTGCATGTGTATATGTATCAGTTACGGAAAGGTAGAATATAAACTGCGATAAAGATGTGCGTGTCAGATATCGTACATAGAAATAAACTCTTATGACGAACGCTTTGTAAAATTTATATACGAGATACGTTAATTTATTTATATTTGCATATCCGTTGTTTTTTGTTTATATATAATGAAATTCATTCGAAGGGACAGTTCAAGAGAAAGCATAACAGCCGGCGGCAGTAAAAGTTTACGGAAAAGCGCGAAATATGAACGTTACAACGAGACATACTTTGAATGTGTCACGGGGATATTTGAACTCGGTGTATAAACACAGATGTCGAATAACCCACTTATGATAAATCGAGAAATTGAAATAAGAAACGCATTTGACATTGAATTGATTCGAAGATTCGAGAAATAATCAAGTTATCTCTTTCGAAATCATCAGCGATGCGTAATAAAACACGTTCGATCTCTATTATCATCTCTATTATCATTGTTATTTACGATGTGATTTATGTATGTCATTTTGAATAAAAATATTAAATAATCAGTTTATGTAAAGTCCAGAAAAAATAATTAATTAAATAATGTCTAATTTGTTTATCTATATAAATAAGATTGTTAGTTCAAATGATCTCATACGATACACAATTGAAATAAAGCTTCCTGGTTCGATATTGCCCCTTTCTTCTTAGCGTTTAACACGAATGCATTCATTGTTGTGGAACCATTTGAACCTAAATTTGATATCTCATCGTTATATAACGATCTTTTAGAAATGAATGGAGTGTGATATTTCTTCTCATTTGATGAATACGATTCCATTGGTATTACATTCCCACGGTCCGATAAGTGTCGTCTTGCTTATTCTGTACTTTAGAATTGTGAAATTTGTGACAATTCTCGGGAAAATTGATGACGTCCATCGATAAGAAAAAGATCGATCGGATCGAGAGGATTCTTAGTGGATCCTGTCGGATCCGTATGGCTTGGCAGCATAAACTACCTAACCTACTTTTACAAACAGGTTTATGCTGCTTCTACTGTAACGGTGATCGAGCAGACAACGTCGACGTATGCAAGAATGATTTTTCTTAACTTTAACCGTGCTTTACGTATATGCATATACCTTTAAACTAGCAATTAATAAAAATTTTTTAATAATTGAGTACGTGTTTCATATGTTTGGTCGATTATCAATTTAATATTATTGATTTTAACAATTAAACATTTGATATTTGATTATTCCATGTGATTTTACTAATGGACACACATTTATTTTTTAAATAATTGATCTTATTCGATGTTCTAAAATTCGCGTACATCAATCTTATCTTCGGTGATTGTGAAAAAGAATAGATGCGACATATAGAAGTTCCTAGAACGAATAGAAGGACGATTGTGGAGCGTAGGCGAAGTATCCTTAGCATCATCCTTAAAATAAAATGCAGACGGTCGTTGTAGTTTATCGCATAACCTGTATTTATGCTTCCGATGTTCTTAGTCCGTGGTTTATGCGATGTTGTGTTGAATATATGAGTATTAAAAAAAAAAAAAAAAAAAAACGATAAAAAGATAAAAACATTTTCTTGCTTTAGGTGGAGTGCCGACAACCACGACTTAAGAGATGGTCATCGTCACGCGGGTAAGATGTTCTTTTTTTTCTTTTTCTTTTATTATTTAACTTAATTATTTCTAATTATAAATCATCGAAACAAAATCATTATTATAAAGGACCGAGTTTTTAAGGGATATTAAAGATTTTGTTTCGACATTCGTTATGGTAAATAATATCTATTACAGGTATAGTTCAGCTCGATCGATTTTATCGATTCTGACTCGTGATTCGCCGCGAGAGCGTTTTCTCGCTGATGCGTTACTTTTTACCGCTTTCATCGTCTTTCTCCTTCAAGACGGTTAGTAGGGCTCTGTCACGAGTGAGAATGTCTTAAGATTTTATAATATTCACGTGAATGTTTCTTTTTTTATTTCTCTATTTTTTTTTTCTAATTCAAAAGTCGATACTTTGATGTCATCTTTGGCAATCGATTGATATGTATATATACATTTATTTTAGATTTATTTTAAATCAAAAGTTATTTTCTGTCTCATCGATCAATAATAATAATATCATCATGTTACAGTATAAATCGTCTCGATTGATTAGTTTTATTAACGATTATGTACGTCGTCTTCGTCCGCGATTATATCGGAATAGAATTTCTATGGAACATAAGAAGGTCCTTGCAATTGAATGAAAGGTTACATTCATCGTGTCCTTTTTTATCTTTTAACCCTTTTTATCTCTAGGAGCATATATACTAATTATTTGTAAGATAAATATGTACATATAAATTTATTAGATAGACCGGAAAGTAATGTCGTTTCTGCACATGTCGATATTTGATTGGGATTAAAAATAAAAACTTGTTAAAAATTTATTCGTTTGAATTTAATTTAAGAAAGTGACATTATTTTCCGGTCCTCCTAATATATATCTTATTATATATAAAGTGTAATGTCGATTTCTCGATAAATAAAACAGAAGAAATCAAATTAAAAAATGATATAGCAAATACATTTTTTGTACATACTTATAATAATTTTTTGTAATTAATGATTTCGAAGTTTAAGAGGGGAAAAAGTAATGGTTGATGCACCGCAAAATTTGAATCAATTCATTCAGCAGTTATTCAATACTTTAAAGTAGTGTTCAAAAAATCTTTTTTTGTCGCTAATATAAAATTAACTTTTCGATAGGAGCTTTAAAGTAAAGGACAAAATTTCTATCTATGCAACCGTTTCAAATTCTTCTTTCTGGAAAATAAAAAACGTTGAGACGCGCGATCGGTTAATTAGGCATAGTTAACGGTCCTTTACTACCGCGCGAATGCCCTGTACAACACCTTGGTATTTCGCACGAACGATCTAGCTGTCGTATAACGGTACGAGAATCGTCTGCTGGACGTGCTTTTGATTCGTACCTTCGAATTTATATTTTACGGTTTTTCTCTATTTATTTTAAATAAATCACTGAAGATGTGTAAAAAGCAAGAATTAAAAACTGAGACAATTCTCTTTTTCTATCATTGGAGATTTTTAAGAGAAAAATGTCTTATTTATTGTATTAACTCTGACAGTTATTATAACTTATGAATAATTTCCTTATTATTTTTGTTATTGTTTCATTAAAATAAAGAATTTTTCTATTTTGAAAGTAAACAAATATCGTCGAAAATGTAAGAAATTTTTCTTTCTTCTGTAGAAAGAAAAATGGTCTGTTCATAGTCTGTTCATAAATATTCGTAAACTGATTTCTTTATAAATATAAACGAACATTAAATAGCAACAATAAAAATACAATTTAAAATTTTCATTAAATTCTCACGTTTGACGAGTAAATTGAGCCATTATAGATAGCAAGGAAAATAAAATGAATGAAGGAACCAATCGAATTGGTTTTTATTATTTCAAATCGATGACCGGAAGAGCTCTTCCGATGAGGTGAACAACCGGAAAGCGTTTGGTATAATCGATCATAGATCTATGGGAATGGTGTTACCATATTAAGACTTTGTTTAGAATGGTCATTATGTGTATCTTATTACTAACTAAGTAATAAAATCCGCTGGTGCGATTATTATCGAAAATTTTATATTTTTATTCACGTTAAAACGTTTAACTGCTCTTAAATTATGTGAAATAGAGCAGTTTATTAAAATCAAATTAGAGCATTTACCTATCAGATAAAATTCATTATCGTGCTTTTCTTTTTCTTTTACCAGCAGTGTACTTTCGGGATAATAATTAGTTTGAAATTGCATTGGAATGTCTTGATAAGAGAAAAAGATATCAAAAACGAATCGAAGGTTTTGTAATTCATAACGCAAGATCGACGAGTAGCGATAAACACTTTATCGGATAACCTTGCATAAAACAATCCACTTTCTTTTAATAGGAAGGCAAGAACAATGATAATCCGCAATTCATAATTGTTTGAATTAGAAGCAGACATAGTTAGTTGCCGCGTTCAACGCAACGTAATTAGTTTTCCTCTTATAAGCACATTTGTCATTATCATTCCCCATATAGTAATGTCTTTACGAATAAAAAAATTAATTCTAGCTATCGTAGATTATACTTATGCTGTATGATAGAAAGATGGACACGGTCATGTACACGTATGCATTTAAAAATTAATAGGCGGATATTTATTTTTTATTTATTTATTTTTTTTTTTTCATTGTATATTATATGTTCACCTTACATTTTAATAATTATTTTTTATTTTTAGGGGGATTATATATGGATCGAACCAATATCTGGAAGAGAATTTGACGTTGCGATCGGAGCACGTGTAATTTCGGCAGAAGGTAGACGAATCCAGGTTAAGGACGACGATAACAAGGTGAGATTAGAGTTTGATTCGATTTACATTAAAGATCGCTTATGTTTCACGGCGTAAAGGGATATTTATTTTTGACAGGAACAATGGCTGACTCCGGAAAGACGAATAAAAGCCATGCATGCTACGTCTGTGCAAGGTGTCGAAGATATGATCAGTTTAGGAGACCTCCATGAAGCCGGCATTTTGAGAAATTTACTAATTCGTTATAATGAGAATCTCATTTATGTTAGTAATTGATATTATTTTATACCTTTCTTCATACTACGTCAATATATTCTGCGGGGATAATCGTTTAATTAATTTTTTATTACGGTTTTTGATGTATTCAATGAAAAGGAAAAAAAAAAAACAAAAAAACAAAATTAATAAAAACCTGTTACAGACTTACACAGGCTCTATATTGGTCGCCGTTAATCCGTACCAGATACTGCCTATTTACACCGCAGAACAAATAAAGCTGTACAAGGATCGTAAAATTGGAGAACTTCCACCTCACATATTTGCTATCGGTGATAACAGTTATGCACATATGAACAGATACGGTCAAGATCAATGTATAGTAATTAGGTATAGGTCTTTACGTTTATTTATTCGTTTACTTATTATTTACTTTTTTTTTTTGTATATTGATATCATAAATGAAAAGTAAATAATTAATATCGAAAATAAGAATTGATTGAAAATTACGATGTTGGTATAGTGGCGAAAGCGGGGCGGGCAAGACCGAGAGTACGAAATTAATTTTACAGTATTTAGCGGCGATCAGTGGTAAGCACTCTTGGATAGAGCAACAAATTTTAGAAGCAAATCCAATATTAGAAGGTATTGTCAAATAAATATATACAGAGGTAAATTAAATAAATAGTACGTATTTCACCAATATTTTATTTTCACTTTAGCCTTCGGTAATGCTAAAACTGTGAGAAACGATAACTCCTCTCGTTTTGGTAAATACATAGATATCCATTTTAACGAGCATGGTATAATAGAAGGCGCTAAAATTGAACAATACCTTTTGGAAAAATCTCGCATCGTGTCTCAAAGCTTAGACGAAAGGAATTATCATGTTTTTTATTGTATGTTGGCTGGATTATCGAAGGAAGAAAAGCAGAAGTTAGAACTTGATGATGCCTCATCGTACAGGTATCTAACGGGAGTAAGTAAGAAAATATTCTCTTTCTCTTTCTTTTTTTGTGGAAATGTGATTCTAAGTATAACTTCACAAAAAAAAATCATACGGTTATAAATGTAAATTAATTAAATAATATTCTGTTTTTAATATTTAGGGAGGCAGTATAACATGCGAGGGTAGAGATGATGCTGCTGAATTTGCTGATATAAGATCAGCCATGAAAGTATTGTTGTTTACTGATTCAGAAATATGGGAGGTTTTAAAGCTCCTCGCAGCTTTGTTACATATGGGAAATATAAAATACAGAGCTACCGTCGTAGGTATGAATTTAGTATTTAACAAAATCTTAAAGTATTATTTTTTCTTCATTATTTTGCTAGGATGGTTTTATTTCCTTATTTGTGAATAACTTATAGATAATTTGGACGCAACAGAAATACCAGAACAGACAAACGTTCAGAGAGTAGCTCATTTGTTGGGTGTTCCAGTACAATCTTTGATAGATGCTCTTACACGAAAAACAATATTTGCTCACGGCGAGACTGTAGTAAGTATTACAGTAGCCATGAACTTTCAATTATGAATGTTAATTAATATTTTTATATCATTAATTGTATGTAACTTGTGATCAGGTTTCCACGTTATCAAGGGAACAATCAGTTGATATAAGAGATGCTTTTGTTAAAGGAATATATGGTCGATTATTTATACATATCGTTAAAAAAATTAACGAAGCTATCTATAGACCGAAGAATACTTCACGTAGTGCCATCGGTGTGCTTGACATATTTGGTTTTGAAAATTTTAATCACAATAGCTTTGAGCAATTTTGCATTAATTATGCGAATGAAAATCTACAGCAATTCTTTGTACAACATATTTTTAAGTTGGAACAGGAGGAATATAATCACGAAGGTATTAATTGGCAACATATAGAATTCGTCGACAATCAAGATGCTCTAGATTTAATAGCTATTAAGCAACTAAATATAATGGCACTTATTGATGAAGAATCAAAGTTTCCAAAAGTATGTACTTCTCTATATATCGTTATATGTTTGTAACTTAATGCTATAATATTATTATACATGATTTCAGGGTACAGATCAAACGATGTTAGCAAAGATTCATAAGACTCATGGAACCCACAGAAATTACTTAAAACCAAAATCGGATATCAATACATCATTTGGATTGAATCATTTCGCAGGTGTCGTTTTCTATGACACTAGAAGTTTTCTTGAAAAGAATAGGGATACATTTAGCGCTGATTTATTACAACTCATTCATATATCTTCAAATAAGTTCTTGCAAACGTGTTTCATTGAGGACATTGGCATGGGTTCCGAAACCAGAAAAAGAGCGCCGACTTTGTCAACTCAATTCAAAAAATCATTAGATTCACTTATGAAGACGTTATGCAGCTGTCAGCCTTTCTTCATAAGATGTATTAAACCTAACGAATATAAAAAACCTATGGTAAGTCTCAATACAAAATATTATAAATATTATAAAAATAATATAGAATATTAATGTACTATAGCATTGAAAAGATATTTTTATTATTTGACATTATTTTAGATGTTTGATAGAGGATTATGTTGTCGACAATTAAGATACTCTGGAATGATGGAAACAATTAGAATACGCAGAGCAGGATATCCAATTAGGCATTCCTTTCATGAGTTCGTTGAAAGATATAGATTCCTTATACCTGGTGTACCTCCTGCGCATAAAGTATATTACCAAAAATATTTTCATTAACAATGAATTTCATTTACAATATGCTTTTCCAAATTAATATATTTTATTGAGTAAACGTTCTTATGGTAGGTCGATTGTCGAGCTGCTACTTCAAAAATTTGCCATGTAGTTCTAGGAAGATCAGATTATCAATTAGGACACACTAAAGTATTCTTGAAGGATGCACACGATTTATTTTTGGAGCAAGAACGCGATCGTGTTTTGACGCGAAAAATTTTGGTATTACAACGCAATATACGTGGATGGGTTTACAGAAGAAGATTTATGCGTATGCGAGCGGCAGCAATGATAATACAAAAGTATTGGAGAGGCTACGCTCAACGACAACGTTACAAACGTATGAAGAGTGGCTATATGAGATTACAAGCTCTCATAAGATCACGAGTGCTGTCTCATAGATTCAGACACTTGCGAGGACATATAGTAGCTCTTCAGGCACGAGCTAGAGGTCATTTGGTACGCAAAATGTATCGAAAAAAATTATGGGCCATTGTTAAAATTCAAGCTCATGTGAGAAGATTGATAGCAGAAAGAAGATATAAGAAAATTAAATATGAATACAGATTACATATTGAAGCGTTAAGGTTACGGAAGAAAGAGGAACGTGAACTAAAAGATCAAGGAAATAAAAGAGCTAAAGAAATTGCTGAACAAAATTATAGGGTGCGCATTAAAGCATAAGTTTATAATTAGAATATTAGTTGGACAGTTTTTTAATGTGTAAATAATCTTGCAGGAACGAATGCAAGAATTGGAAAGAAAAGAAATAGAAATGGAACTTGAAGATAGACGTAGGATGGAAATTAAGAAAAATTTGATTAATGATGCAGCTAAGAAGCAAGATGAACCAGTTGATGATAGCAAATTAGTCGAAGCGATGTTTGATTTCTTACCTGATTCTAGTAGCGAAGCACCAACACCAGCCAGGGAAACATCTGTTTTTAATGTTAGTTATTCATTTAATATTTTATCATTATTAAATTATGTTATGTACATAAAAATGCATATATTACTTGGATTTTCAGGATCTTCCAGCTCCTAAAGCTGATCAGCAAGAAATTATTAGTCCGGTTCAAACTGCTTCAGAAGATGAGGAAGACTTATCCGAATTTAAGTTTCAAAAATTTGCAGCTACTTACTTCCAGGGTAATATTACACATCAGTATTCTAGGAAACCATTGAAACATCCGTTATTATCTCTACATACACAAGGAGACCAACTGGTTAGTACGTCAGTATTTAAAAAATTATTTTTAAAATATTTAGTTCATGATAAATATAAATTTTTATCGATCTTACTATATACCTCATCTTAGATATAATACTATCTTTTATAGGCTGCTCAAGCTTTATGGATTACTATACTTCGTTTTACCGGTGATCTTCCGGAACCACGTTTTCATACAATGGACAGAGACACAACATCTGTTATGTCTAAAGTAACCGCTACTCTTGGACGTAATTTCATTAGAAGTAAAGAATTCCAGGAAGCACAAATGATGGGCATGGATCCAGTATGTATTGATTACGCGTTTCATTTTAGATGTCTATTTTGTTCAAAAGCTAAAGAACATTATTCTTTGATAGGAATCCTTCTTAAAGCAGAAACCACGATCTATCAGGCACAAATTAGTATCATTGACCTTAAAAAGGAAGAATAAATTAGGAGAGGATGTTAGAAGAAGACTACAAGAAGACGAATATACAGCAGATAGCTATCAATCTTGGTTGGAAGCAAGACCAACTTCAAATCTAGAGAAACTACATTTTATCATTGGTCATGGAATACTCAGAGCAGAATTAAGAGATGAAATTTATTGTCAGATTTGCAAACAATTAACCAATAATCTTTCAAAATCATCGCACGCTCGTGGCTGGATTTTACTGTCCCTCTGTGTTGGTTGTTTTGCTCCATCTGAAAAATTTGTAAACTATCTCCGTGCATTTATAAGAGAAGGGCCACCAGGCTATGCTCCGTACTGTGAAGATCGCCTCAAAAGAACATTCAATAATGGTACTCGGAATCAGCCTCCAAGTTGGTTAGAACTTCAGGCAACAAAATCCAAAAAACCAATTATGCTTCCTATTACATTCATGGATGGAAATACCAAAACTCTTCTTGCCGACTCAGCAACCACTGCTAGGGAATTGTGCAATCAATTATCAGATAAAATTTCATTAAGGGATCAATTTGGATTCTCTCTTTATATCGCATTATTCGATAAAGTTTCATCATTGGGTAGTGGTGGTGATCATGTTATGGATGCTATTTCTCAGTGCGAACAGTATGCTAAGGAACAGGGCGCACAGGAACGAAATGCGCCATGGAGATTATTTTTCCGGAAAGAAATCTTTGCACCATGGCATGAACCAACAGAAGATCAAGTAGCAACAAATCTGATATATCAGCAAGTAGTTAGAGGTGTGAAATTCGGAGAATATCGCTGCGACAAAGAAGAAGATTTGGCAATGATTGCAGCTCAACAATACTATATAGAGTATCATACAGATATGAATATAGACAGATTATATACCTTACTACCTAATTATATACCAGATTATTGTTTAGCTGGTGTTGATAAGGCCATTGATAGATGGGGACATCTTGTTCTACAAGCATATAAAAAGGTAAAATATAAGTATTAAATTAAAATTATCACGTTGGTTAAGAATTACAATTAAGAATTACAATTCTTTTAATATTTGCAGAGTTACTATTTAAAAGAAAAGGTACCTGTTTTACGTGTTAAAGAGGATATAGTAGGCTATGCAAAATTTAAATGGCCTTTACTTTTTTCTCGCTTCTATGAAGCTTATAGAAATTCTGGTCCAAATTTGCCTAAGAACGACGTTATTATAGCTGTCAACTGGACTGGAGTTTACGTTGTTGATGATCAGGAACAAGTGCTTTTGGAATTGTCCTTCCCTGAAATTACCACCGTGTCTAGTCAAAAGTATGTATGATGCTGCCTTTAATAATTTTTTTAGAATAACAGAAACTATTTACTAAACTGTTTTTAGAACGAACAAGATGTTTACACAGACATTCAGTTTGTCAACGGTGCGAGGAGAAGAGTTTACATTCCAGAGCCCTAACGCAGAAGATATTCGTGATTTGGTTGTATACTTTTTAGAAGGTTTGAAAAAACGTAGTAAACATGTTATAGCAGTACAAGATTACAAAGCACCTGGCGAAGGATCGTCTTTCTTAAATTTCCAAAAAGGAGATCTTATTATCTTGGAAGACGATAATACTGGCGAAAGTGTTCTTAGCTCTGCTTGGTGTGTTGGAACTTGTGAAAGGACTGGTGAGAAAGGTGATTTTCCTGTAGAGACAGTTTACGTTCTACCATCTCTTACAAAGCCCCCAAACGATATATTGGTAAATATCATTAATTTGTCTGTATATATATATATGTCTGTATATATATATATGTCTGTATATATATATATATATATATATATATATATATATATATATATATATATATATATATATATATATATATATAACAGAGATATTTATGCAATGCTTTAAATATTAAAATATTTCATCTTACATAGGCATTATTCAGCGTAGAAAGTACTGAAAATGGCCGTAGGTTATATCCTCAACAAATAAATGGAGTTGAATCTCGAGACAAACCTCATACTCTTATGGAATATGCCATTGATCACTTTCGGTAGATATATTTTGCTGCAGAAATGAATATCAGATTCAAAATAAAAATATTATCATTCTAAATATCATCTATTTGTTTTAGAACTCCGCCAAAGAGGACAATGTCGAAAGCTTTAACTCTAACAACAGCGAGAAGAGGTCATACAGATGAATTATGGCATCACTCGAGAGAACCAATAAAGCAACCACTTTTGAAGAAATTAATATCTAAGGAAGAACTTGCGGAAGAAGCATGTTTTGCCTTCAATGCTGTTTTGAAATATATGGGTGATTTACCAACGAAAAGATCTCGAATTGGCAACGAATACACCGATGTTATTTTTGACGGTCCTTTAAAGAATGAAATTTTAAGAGACGAGATTTATTGTCAAATAATGAAGCAATTAACGGATAACTGTAATAGATTGAGCGAAGAACGAGGATGGGAGTTAATGTGGCTTGCTACTGGACTTTTTACTTGTAGTCAAAGTCTTCTTAAAGTATGATTTTAATGTGATCTTATATTTGTGTAAATATTAATTTTTTAAGAATTCTTTGCATTTCATTCATATTTATGTATTGTTAATTAAAGGAATTAACATTATTTTTACGCACGAGGCGACATCCCATATCTCAAGATTCGTTACAAAGGCTTCAAAAGACTTTACGTAACGGGCAACGAAAATATGCTCCACATCAAGTAGAAGTAGAAGCTATTCAACATAAAACAACACAAATATTTCATAAAGTCTACTTCCCAGATGATACTGATGAAGTAAGGATATTTAATATATACATATATAGTTACTATGATATTTGTAAAATAATATTTTCTCTTATATATAGGCGTTTGAGGTTGATTCATCTACAAGAGCAAAGGATTTTTGTCAGAATATTGCACAAAGGCTTAATTTACGTTCGGCAGAAGGTTTTAGTTTATTTGTAAAAATTGCAGATAAAGTCATTTCAGTACCGGAAGGTGATTTCTTTTTCGATTTTGTGCGACATCTAACAGATTGGATTAAAAAAGCTAGACCATCACGGGATGGTAGGTAGCAGATTGTTTCTGATTAAAATAGTTATTAAATTGAATTTATAATTATATATATATATATATATATATATATATATATATATATATATATATAAAATATATATATATATTGTAGGTATTTCTCCTCAGTTTACGTATCAAGTATTTTTTATGAAAAAGTTATGGACAAATACAGTTCCTGGAAAAGACAGAAATGCGGATCTTATATTTCATTTTCATCAAGAACTTCCAAAGTTACTGAGAGGTACATCTTAAAATTACTAATTTTTTAAGTATTATGGATTATTCTATCTCTAGTACTTTTACATTTAAAAATTTTTAGGATACCATAAGTGTACTAAAGAAGAAGCTTCAAGATTAGCAGCATTGGTATATAGAGTACGTTTTGGAGAAAGTAAGCAAGAACTTCAAGCGATTCCGTAAGTTTTTATGAAACTGATATGTACAAATTGTTCATATTATTAAAAGTATTTTGTACGAACTAATAATTGTTGTTATAAAATATAAATGTTATTACTTATTTTAAATAGGCAAATGTTGAGAGAACTTATACCAAGCGATTTAGTGAAGATACAAAATTCGAATGACTGGAAAAGATCTATAATAGCTGCGTATAATCAAGATGCTGGTAAGTTATAACGACTTTTGTAATAACATCAACGTATAATTTGCTGCTTTGAATATTTTTTTATTATTATTAAATATGATTATTTTTTTACATAGGAATGAGCCCAGAGGATGCAAAGATAACATTTTTGAAAATAGTTTATCGATGGCCAACATTTGGATCTGCATTCTTTGAAGTTAAGCAAAGTACAGAACCAAATTATCCAGAATTACTTTTAATTGCAATTAATAAACATGGAGTAAGCGTTATACATCCTCAAACAAAGGTAATTTAACATAGATTTTTCATATTACAAATCTAATATAATATACATAAACATAATTTGGTTCTAATTACCATCATAATTTTTTGTAGGATATATTAATAACACATCCTTTCACTAGAATCTCAAATTGGTCATCTGGTAATACCTATTTTCATATGACAATAGGGAACTTGGTACGAGGTTCTAAACTTTTATGTGAAACTTCACTTGGTTATAAAATGGATGATCTGTTAACGTCATATATTTCATTAATGCTCACAAATATGAATAAGCAACGTACAATACGAATAAAATAGATTTATGGCTACGTGTTCTCCAAAGCGATTAAAAAATAATCCGTACATTCTTCTATTTTTTAAATATAAGTAATAGAAAATAATATTAGAGAGATTAAATAAGAAGAATAGGTACTTTTCATAAGAAAAGCAAAATGTAAAGCAAAATGTATGTAAATTTAGCGCAAATTTAATTTGACCATTTCAAAATATTATTGTTTATGATTATTTATACTATATAATAGCGTTAAAATGATATTTTTTTATAATGAAAAGAACACATCCCATTATCATTCCACATATATTTTTATTTTATCACATTTTTTAAAAATTAATATTGAATTTTATACTTGTGATTTAATTACAGTATGAATTCTTTCAAGGTTATAGAGATATTGTTTAAATACCAGCGAATAACTTTTAGTTAATTCGTCATATCAGGCACTTCACATTCATGTGGCATTATAAATAGATATAACAGCCAAATTTATTGTTTTCATACTTACCATTCGATTTACAATTAGCGGCACAGTTGTTACGCAGATAATACAAAGGAAATAGAAGTTCGTGTGTATACAAAATAATTAACTAAAAGCTTTGTATATGATTTATTTACAAATAAGATTTTCATATAATTTTGTAAAATATTACTTTGCTCTATATTATATATAATCAAAGAATTTTGTGCTGAAGCATATATTACTCGGTTTCGATATAACTGATATCTTTCTTATTATTTAAATAGTACATAAAACCGTAGAAAACGACAATAATTTAATAAATATTATTGTACGTAAGTTATGGATATGAACATATTGCGAAATGATTTTTAAAAGTGTTTATTTATCAATATTGATTCGTAAGTTATAATAAAACAAAAAAGGAAAAAAGAAAAAAAAAAAAAAAAAAAAAAAAATAATATGAGAGAATCTAAACTTATATCCGTCCGATGATATTCAAGAATATAATTACTATTAATCCACATTTATATATTGTGAATAATAAAGACAATCGTATTCTTCAATTATGCGATACAAGTGTTAATCGTGAGTAAGTTCCCATGGAACATATACATGTTTCCCCTTCACAATAGATCTTTTCAGGAAGACATTCTTAAGATGATGTTATCTCATTTCCTCCTTGAGACGACTACGTTCAAATATACTTTAAAGAAAAGAAATAAAGACAACTCTGCAAACCTAATGAACCAGATTTATTTAAACTAGATCTTAAATTAAAATGTTAACTTTATCAGGTTTATGTAATTTTCTTAAGTACAAAGTTTTGAATTTTCATTTGTATGTAGCAATTAAACAATTTTACGAATTCGATTAAATTTGAAAAAATTTTCTAAGATCATACATAAGTTTTCGTTTTGTAGATAGTTCATGTATGAAAGATAAAACGCTATAATACATTTACAAATATGAAGATAAATTAATGGTTTCATCAATAATCCCAATAATTGTTAGTAGTTACAGATATTATTATAAATACCTAATTTTACACCAAATTACATTTTATATGACTTATTTATTAAAATGCACTAAACATTTTTGCAATCATTGCAATCATACAAATTCCAATTATGTACAGATAATTCTATTTTGAGATTAATCAAATTTTGTTTTATGCATATATTATTTATTTCGATGACTATTGTTTTTATTTACAAATTTATTCTTATTTTAAAATTACTTGTATGATCTAAAGAATAGTAGAAAAACATTGCATTTATTTTCGTTATAGTATTTAGGATTAGGAAACATTTGGAGCATAAAGTAAAAATTATATAATGTAAATTATGTCAATTTATTCTAAAACACATAGTGACATAAAAACTCATACGTATAGATCTTTATAAGTAATCAAGCTTTTAAATCTCATGCTTGCTCTTTTTTTCTTTAGAAAAAATATTATTGAAGTTAAATATATATTTGAGAAATTCCTAATTATAATCAATGGTAGTGGTGGTTGTCTTTTGTTGATTATACAAGCCATGTTCTTGTAAAAAGTTATTTTTTTGCCTGCAGTATATAATAAAGAACATATGAAAATACTGTATATTTTGCAGAAAATCAGTAAAATTAGTAAGTGCAAGAAATATGTTACCAAAATTGAAACAAAATCGATTTGTGTGTGTGTGTGTGTGTGTGTATGTGTATGTTTGTATGTATATATGTATGTACGTATATATATATTTACATGTATGTTCAACGTAAATTTGGAGTCATGTTCAATTCATACAAACATTCAGATTCAAGCAACATAAATTTTTACAATATATATACTAATTAAAAGCGTATAATTATTAAAATAAATCAATATGTCAAACAACAAAATTGTTTAAGTGTCATTTTAATACAGATAAAGAATATATAATTTCTATTGACAAGATAATATCTGATCTTGGATCAATATTGATTTACACACAAACCCATGTACATTCGTTCAAGCTTCAATAATTAATGGACGTTTTAATAAATAATAAAATTTCTTTGTGATTTTGTTCTTGTATGAATCTATAAATGTGCAAAATATTTATTTATGCTCATTTCTAGACACATTGCACATTGTATTACATCTTATCCTGCAGGTAAAATATTTATGTGTAACTATATTCTTTCAATAACAGTAGTTATAAAGATCTTTTAAAAGTGACTGTATCACTGTTAAATGCACAACCATTCCTTCCCTATTGATATGCAATTATACAAGTTACATTGCATACCTTTATAAATATGCATTTTAAAATTGTTCTCATATATGTTATACAATTATATTGTTATATTTGAGTAATATATCTATGAGCATCATTCACTTAAAACCCGTTAACCTGTCTTTTTATTGTATAATTCACTAAATATTCACATCTTTATCATGTAAATTCTTATATCTAAGATTGCTATAAATTATTATCTCTGTAAATTTTTATCAACAACTTATAGTCCATATATTAATATGTAAATAATGCACGGTATTGTACATATTTTGCGCACCTTTTACAAGGTGAGCTAAATGTTACGTTTTTATACTGTCTAAATTTCGTGCAGCGCTATTGACTTCCACCGATAACATCTTCATGATGTAGATACTACCACTAGTACCCTCAATATTGTCAACAGATGCAAATGGAACATCATTTGTATCACTATGTTTTAGACTTTGGTTCATATTATAATTATCTAGAGAACATCAGAGGCCTGATTGCGGAGGTTGATGTGTATTCCATGGTACATCAGCTATTGCTGACGACATACTAGCTTGATTGTGCATGGCACGTGGAGCTCTCATTATTTCATCTGCAGGTGGACAATGTGGGCGTGGACCAGGTTCAGGAGTATAAGTAAATGTTAAACCAGTTGCATAAATAATTCCATCATTTCGCACTAAAGAAACTGGAACTTGTGTTGGCTGCCGTACCCACAACCATTCTCCTCTAAAGAGTGATATATCAGGTACAACACATAACATACTTTCTTGACATCTATACATTGTCTCTGCCTCAACATCTCCAAACCATACTTGAAGATTAGGAGTAAAATTGTCACCAGTTAATTCGAGCATGGCAACATCTCCACCACCATTTAAGTGAAGACTATGGACAAGTGGTACAGGTGTTACAGGCGATCTTACTGGTCCCATGCCTTCGAAAAACTGATATTCTGCTTTATCTGTACTAATTATCGTCCAGCAAGCACCATCATTTATCATTTCTTTATTTGCTTCTTTAGGACATGGCGTTGCTTGGAATTGTATAATACGTTCTTGAGAAAGACAAAGATACATGTGATCCGTATCTTTCATATAGAAGGCGCATTTATGAAGCTGTGATACCGGATCATCTGCTTCAAGACTGGCCATTTGCTTATCAACCTTGCGGATTACTAACCGTGGTAATGCCATTCCTGTGACTGAACATACTAACTTCACTGTACTACCATAATGAACATATCCATCGCGCACTTGAAATTCTTCAGACTCACTTTCATTATCATCTAATAAGTGAATGGTAAATGCACCCCACTGTGTGGAACTTGCATGAAAGTTACCATTTTCTACATGGAGATAACGTGTGCTTACAGTCTGTGATCTTAAGCGATTAAAAAGTGCTACTCTTGTACCACTTGCAATACATAAATCTGCATTTTTTAAAGATTGTTTTTTCTTGGAAGGTTTGGAAATTACTTTTATTCTTTTACTGTGAAATACACCAATATCATGTCCACTTCCATAAAACATTTTTACAGAGAGCATAAAATGCTTTCTTTTGTCAGAATCTGAAATATATAATGTTTTTGCTGCACAATATTGTTTTCCATTATTGAGATCAAGTTGTTGCATATCTTGATCAGAATTGCCAATTCCAATGAAAGCACAAAGTTGAGCTGATTGTTCACTTTCACCTTCACGAAGCATCTGTTCTTGTCGCATTCTCCAACCATCACCAAATAAATAAATGCACGGTGGAGGACAGAAAAATCGCTTTTCATTACCATATGATTTTTGTGCTACCTTAGCATGCAGAATTACAATCACCATGTCACTTCGATCACGTAGGTAACGTTCCATTGCTTCACGAGTAAGTCTCTGGTCTTGATGATCAGATCTATACATGCCTGAGCCATAGCGAGGATATACCGACATGACTGAAGTCGGTGATGGAGGAGACTGCATGCCATGAGCCATTGTGGGCAATCCAAATTGGTGTGGCATATTTAAATTTTAATTCTACCTTCAAGATTATGCAATATTTTGCCGTAGTGGCTAGCTATATCCTTATTTCCTTTGCATATTTTATCCTTCCAAGATCTTATCTGTGAACAATAAAAACTTCACTAATTATAAAATTTGTTAATCTAAAGATTTTATAAGAGATGCTATATTTTGTAAAATTATAGATTGATATATACATTTTTTTAAATAGACTTAATTTAGAATCCAATAATCAATGTAATTCACTATAATACTTAAAATACAGGCACTATATAGTTCTTCTTTTTAATATATTAAGATAGATTCATATTATTTAACATAATAAATAACAAAATGAAGAAGGCTGCAACTTTCATAAGTATATTGCAATAAATGTTTACAATTATGTATAATAATATAATGCAAAATTTAAAGTGAAGCAAAATATACTTTTGTACTATCAAAATGAATACCATAAATCTTAATAAATTATTTAAATATTTTTATAAGCTTACATAAAAATCTTATTATGATAAAATAACAAGTAAAATTATAATAACACGACATTATCTTTATAATAGGATATAGAATTGCGTGATTATATCCTTGTAATGAAATTCAAGATTGTATGTTCTTTTAAAGCTTTAGCGTGAGAAATATTGTTGTTTTCTTATAGCACGAGCCGTAATTAACCTACAATATTTTTTTTGCAAACTAGCAGCTGAGAACTGTCTGCCTTAATACAGGAAGAAGTAAACGTACACATGCCATGGGAACCGAGCTGAGCTCATTTTTCTTTTATGAATTAATGTCTTTCTGGTCATCATACTTGTGGTATTATATTTCATATTTATATCCATTAAATATATTTTAATTAGCGATATTTGTAAATTACTAAAAGAAATAAAAAAATTAATAGATACATATTGTTATATTAAAATTTATTCATAATTTCTATATCATAAATAAAAATTTGTTTTCCTTTCTATAAAAACAAATCTAATACATTAATACATTATGATATTTTATTAATCCCAATGTATATATAAGTGAAGGCAATGTATATCTATGGATGGCATTACTTGCAAAAACTCTTACTGACTTTTACATGATATCTTCGAGTTTTCTGTTGCATAATTTATATAGTAAAACGAATTATGTATGTAGTATAAATTGAAACGAATAAAGTATTTAATGAGATGTACATATATTAAAAAATTGCATTTTACAATGCAGTCATTTTCGTTTCTTAAAACAGAAATTACAAAGCATAATTAATTCTATCATAAATATATTGAATAGAGATTTAAAAATTAAAACGTATGATATATC